GCCATTTTCTTCAGCCGGTGGCCATTTTGAAACCTGACAATCAGCTGTTTTTGATTGCCGTAAAGCGAAAATCGGTTCCTGAAGCAGGGAACCGATCATCGCTAAGTGAAATTCCCCCATTTAGACCATCGTTTTGGGATCGCAATTGTGATTGCAAAAACCTCATCGTAAAGCAATTTCCTCATTAAGCGAGGCAATCGTTAAGCAGGGCACGACTGTATTGTCTTATAAGGCACAAAAAGATCAAGTAAAATGGACATGGGTTTGCACTTGCCCTGCCTAGGATCCCAAACTGGCCATTCTGTGAAGAAGCTTCCTTTGTTTTATGGCTTCTCCTGCCTGACCTCTTAATTTGAAATGAATCTGAAAGTTTTGTGCCTTTTGGTCCAACAAGCTGTAAAGGAAATGTCAGAGTCCTCGATCTTCCTCTCTGTTTTGCACAACTATATGAAGGTGCCTAAAATTCTGTCCCCAATCCAGGAAGCATCGTTTAGAGGCCACCACTCAAGAGCAGTATTTTGACTAGGGTTCCTTGAAGCTTTTTTCCCCCTTTTCCCCGGAGGATTTTAATAAGATGCTGGAGGACAATCATTTTCTATTTTAGATTCCATATTGTTTGAAAATGTTCTTCTGTTTGTGGGTTTGCATTCATAATAGCTTCGTTTACCACTGAACTGGATGCAGTGGAGAATATACTTTTATCTGCCAACGTAACCATCTCAAATTAGAATGCTTTCATTCCATTTAATTGTTGATCATTCTTCCCTTGGCATTCTGTTTTCAAAGTGAGTGCTAAATGTTTTATCAGCTTTTCTTTTCATTTTAAGCTATTATATCTGTCTCAGTTGAATGCATCTTAAGGGCAGACCAATTTTTCAATGGCCCTCCTTCAAACACACCCTGTCCTTTGGGCTTCTAAGTATCATGCATTCTTATATGTCTTTCCCCTTTTTGTGTTTAATCCAATACTGTAATTAAATTTATTTGTATGATCCAGTTTTCTGGCTCTATCTAACAGCTAATTAAAAAGAAAAGCAATAATAACAGGGGGAAAAACTCAAATAAAAACCCTTGGCACGCAAAACTAGCTATGCAAAGTTGGATAATGACAGGTGAGTCTATAAATTGTGCCAAACTATCAGTATAGCTTCATTGGGGCCTGTGCAGGCTTCTATAATATTTTATACTATCCAGCTGAACTTTTGTCTGCTTTATGAAGAACAAGATTCTTTCAGATCTCCTGGTTTCTGAATTAAAAAATTAAAATTGTAATCACATGTCTTATCAATAAAAGACACAACTAACAAATTAAAGTATTCAGAGGCCTGGTGACATAAACTGATTGCATCCGCAGGATGTAGTAGATAGAGTGATAGACTAGGACCCTGGAGAACAGGTTTTGTATCTCGTCTTGACCATGGAAATTGATGGCAGAACAGGTAAAACCACTCCTTAAATATCTCGCTTAGGGTCGCTATAAGTTGGTTCCAACTTGACAGCATGCACACACATATAGTGGCTGAAATCCTATTGCGCATGTCTACATGCACAACAGTGGTGACATCAGCAGCAGCATATCACTTCAAATTAAAGGCAAATTGCTGCTGCTTAAAGGCAACTTCAGGATGCAAACAATCCCAAGTTCCCCAAGGACGCCCTTAATAAGTGTTGATTTGCCATTGCAGCTGACATCATCACTGTTGTGCACCAAAAAGCAAAGCAAATTATGCAGGTTACACATTGCCTCCCCAGCAAGTTCGGTACTCATTTTACAAACCTTGGAAGGGTAGAAGGCTGAGTCAACCTTGAGCCGGCTACCTGGGACTGAACCCCAGGTCATGGGCACAGTTTGGTTGCAGTACAGTGGTTTAACCATTGTGCCACTGGGCTCTTAACCAGTTTGCCACGAGCCATAAGGAGTTGTGTGACAGGATCTCAGCCACTTGTTTGATTTGATTATCTGAAAAACTGTATTTAAGTCCTTCATAATACAACATGTACTGGTTTGTGGTTCTTCTATTAAATATCCACATTTGTGATTTGTCTTCAGCATTTTAAATAGGTTTGTCACACAAGCTACTATCTCATGTATTTTCCTCAGGCAGACATCTAAGAATAAATACATTTATAGGAACACCTTCAACTTCATATAGGACAGGCCTTCAGATCAAGCATAGTGAGATGGCTGCCTCAGACAACAGAGTGCCAGAAACAATGAATTCAGGCCAACTTTCCTGTTGAAAAAGGAAGTGTGTACACACACACACACACACTTTTCCTGTTGAAAAAGGAAGTGTGTACACACACACACACACACACACACACACACACACACACACAGTGGTTGCTGAGAACTCCAAGCAAGCACTGGGGAAAGTTCCTTTCGCTTGGCCTCTCCTAGGCCATGAGGCCTTCCAGCCCAGCTTTTGTTGAGGTGGGCACAATTTAGGTGTGCGTTTGGGAAGTGGAAATCTCAGAATGGAGAATTCCGAGAGCTGGAGTCCAATTTAAAAAAAAAATCCAAACCAATGGCACATGCCTAGTAGCAGATGCTGCACAAGGGAAGGGAAAAGAAGAAAAGTTTACCTTTTGCTGTTGTTTCTGTCTTTCAGTGCATGAACTTTCTGCCCACAAAACGTATTCGCGACAAAATTGCCATTTAAATCTTGGCACATATGGGAGGCTTTAGAATGCACTGGCTGTTGGAGACTTGGGATGGGCAGTGTGTCACACTTCAGCACCCTGGCATCCGGCATCCAAAGCCAACCAGCAGTATATTAATTAAAATGCAGTGTCAGGATCTGCTGCTAGACTGCTGATAGGATTTGACATGTTTCTGTCTCAGACACTTTAAGGAAAGGTTACTTACAGCTATAGAATGCTGACCAATGCAGTAATGTTAGGCACCTTTGCAGGTAAATCAATATGTGTCCATTGGTGTCAGATGCTGCCTCTGTCTAATTTCTTAAAGCTAGGTCATTCTCTCCATACACAATTTCTGTTCCACTCAGGCTGTAATCTAAGGCACACTTACTTCCCAATGAGTCCCACTGAACCTCTGGAAATACTCGTATGGTTGTGCAAGAGGGCTTAGGGGACGTTAAAGAGCATATGATGAAGCTTTATATGTAACCAAAACACTGGGGATTTGAAACATGATGCATTGCATATGCAATGCACTTTAAAAAACATTTATCCTTCCTGCAAGGAGTTTAAAGCATCGTCTTGTAATTCAAACAATATCCAAACTGCTTTAAAACATCCTTTTCTGATTCACACACAACATTGAAACTTATATTCTTTCCCTGTGCACCCTTTAGGTCTCTCACAGCCTTCCAAAGGCTGTGACTAACTGAGACAAAGAGCCAAAAGGAAGGTGGGTGCTCGAGCTATCCATCACAGCATGCAAGCTCAAAATGATAATAGGGCTTATTTAAAGGAGCTGCTTGGGGAAATGTCATTTTCAGCAATGTTCTCTATATATTGTGAGTTCTCTTGAAAGGCGATGAATCGTTGCGGCAAGTACCTGAGGGACTATTCCATGGTGTTTTATGAAGTGTGCTGCTTCACAGGAAAAATGAACGCAGGTGCTGGGTTGTGTCAGTGCAATAGTCAAAAAGGGTGCTACTGATGAACTAGAAAGAGATCGCAACACACATAGGAAAATGTTCGTGAAAGATAGAAATAGAGAAGAAAAGCCCAAAGCGACAACCCTGTCCAAACTAGTCAAATGAGAAATAAGCATTTTTAGTAGAAATGGAATACTACGTGTTTGTTGCAGGGTAGGGAGAGAGGGCTCTGAAGGATCATGAAAGAAGGCATGGCTGGCTAGCAGGAACGCTGAACAGGAGCCCTTCACTCTGCACCACTATCCTGCTTATTCCTCTGCAGCAAGGGACATGTGATTGCATATGGCATGGTCTACCTCCAGAACTTGCGACTTGCTTTAAATTGAAGTAGATTATCCAGATAACTCATTGTCTGCTTTAACAGATGCACTTATTCAGAGTCTTAACCAACATCTTTCAAAACTCTGACCGGACATATCTGTGATTAAATCTGGAAAGGTTGTGCACTGTCATGGCAACACCCCAAGCCAAATGAAGCATCTGAAGAGAGGAGGCCTCTAGAGAAGAGGTGGGCAAAATGCAGCATCCATCCATTTCCAAGAGTGTCCTCCATTTTTTAAAAAAAATTTTGACAAAAAAAAGCCCTCATACATGCCAACCCCTCATGCCACAAGCTGTTTCAGACGGAGAAGTAACTTCTGAGGTCTTCCTCTTTGGCGCCTAAAATAGCTCAAGAACCTCCCCCTGTCCCGACCCCAGAATTCCATCCTTGCTGCTTAAGGGGCACAAGGCAGCTCTTGGGATATTTTAGGCCCAGGAGTAGGGAGTTGTTGGTGAGCGGACCTCCAGAAGACAGGCATGTGTGGCCTCAGACCCTTCAAAGTTGTCCACCCCTGCTTTATAGCCAGTTTGAACAACAGAGACCAATTATTTTATTTGAACTGTAGGCCTCCAGATCATCAGCCAGTGAACACTCAGTGCCTCGCATTACTTATCTGAAGGAACAAGTTATAGGCTAGCAGTTTCTGATCTTTTTTTAATGATTTGGTGGTGATCAAAAAGGCAGGGTGTGCCTCTCTTGTCTTCAGGATGGAATATTATTCAGGTTTCTTCTCTTTTTTGTTTCTTGATGTTGCACTGGCAGTGATATGATCCCACTGCAGCAATGTTTATTGCTACCCATTGCCTTAGTGCACATGTCTGTCTGGGACAAGGTATGCCTGTTGCAGAAACCCCATGGAAAGTAATGGATGTGTTCAGGCATGGGAGGTTAAATCACTATGGTCATCATGTGTCATTATGAAGTGATTGTCTCAGCATTCTCTTTTCCAAGCACATTTTGATTTCGAGAACACAGTTTGATTTTGGAGGAAAAAAACCCCCACAAAATCTGAAATTGCTGGGTAAGAGTTTTGTTATGATCTTTTATAGGCAGCGCTGGGACACCTGTTGTTTTCAATGAAAATGGAGATGCACCTGGACGTTATGATATCTTCCAGTATCAAATAACCAACCGAAGTACAGAATACAAAATTATCGGCCAGTGGACGAACCAGCTTCATCTAAGTGTAAGTTTGTGTATAGTTGTGTTTTAACTGTACCATTTATCTTATTTTGGTCCTTTTGGGAAAGAGGAGCAAATAACACACAAAAGGTATCCAAGGTGTTTTCCCAGTGCTTTTGAATTCCTTGAAATTGTTCTTCAGCATTACATGATACAACAGTGCTCAATTAATTGGAGTTAATTAACTTTACTCAAAAATGCAGATTCATGTGATTGGGATGCTAGGACACTGCTGTTCCAATAACATTCTAGGTAATGATGGACTTCAATGCAAAGCTTTTATATTCGATGATTGAAGGCCTATTGGTTAGTGTAGTAAGTTGTACTACAGTAGGCCCACTGAATCTTTGGAGGTTTGGTGACTCAATTCCTCCATACATCCTGTTGATTTTAGTTGATTTTAGCTTCCTCTAGTTGCAACTTATGTTAGCATCGGTTGTAACTAGAGTAAGCCCATTTGAATCATTGGAACTTATAGAGTAGTTGACTCATCAAATCCTCACTGATCAATGGGTCTACTGTAGTGCAATTTACTACACTAAGCAACAGGATTTCAGGCATTTAGTGTCATGATGGAATCCCTTAGCACAGTGGTCCCCAACCTTGGGCCTCCAGATGTTCTTGGACTTCAAATCCAAGAAATCCTAGCCAGCAGGGATGGTGGTGAAGCCTTCTGGGAGTTGTAGTCCAAGAACATCTGGAGGCCCAAGGTTGGGGACCACTGCCTTAGCACACTTCTATATTCAGCCATGTTAGACATGTTTTCATCATCCATGAAGCTCTTCCCATGCTTTGTGTATACAGACTAATATTAGCTATATTTATGTTCTGCATTCACGCAGGCCAGTTATGGAATCCAGCAAGCTTGTTAATTGACCTGCGTGAATCAACTGTGCTACAACATGACCTAGAATGTCTCTAACATGGAGATATCCCAAAGCAGGTTCTCAAGGGTTCTTCGGACAACAAAATGATGTGAAATATGTTCTCTCAAATACTTGAGAAATACTATCCTAGGAGCAGAGCTTGGAACTCCACCACTTCACCCCCATCAGGAAGTAAACATTACTCACTTTTTCAAAGTATTGTGTTAGCAATGCATTTTTACGCAGCTTTATTGTTACTATTTGCAAAATATAAGATAAAATTCAACAGTTCCCCAAAATGACTCTCTCATATTTTTAAGCAACTAATGACTGTTCCTTATTACGCTAAAGAAGTAATGAAATTACTACTCATTATATTAATTGTGCAAAAATAATGTTCTTATGCCTTTGTTGCCCCTAAATGTAGCACATTACAGGCAACATTGTTATTTGAAATAGCTCACTTCCAAGTCCTGCCTGTGGAATATATATCATGTGTATATGTTTTCCCTGAAAGAAGGAAAACTGATCTTTAAAAAAGATTCATCATTAATGATAGTTGGTAGTCAAGATGTGCACCAAAAGAAGCTTTCACAATGTTAAAATACAAAATGAAAGAGTAGGCAAATTTCAGATCATTAAGGGTAGGGATGAGCAACATATGGCCCTTGAGCCATATGAATTCCCAGGGACACAAATGCTGTTCCTCCACACCCCCATATACCCCCCTATTATGTAATTGTAAAAAATTATTTCAAAAAATCCCTTGTGCGCTCTTAGAGGGTTAATTTTGAGGGATCAGTTTTGGCATGTTTGCCTCCAGCATCCCTCTTACCCCCACAATTTTTAAAAAAATAGAAAGTACAAGGGGAATTTTTCAACAAAGGTTGCAGTCAAAGAAATGAGTACAACTTTCCAAGTTGCAGGGATCAGCCTGTGCCCTGGTTTATAGGCTGTATTCACTGTGATAGAAATATATCTATACAGTGATGCCTCGTATAACGAGCAGCCCGTTTAATGACGAATCCACATATCAATGCGGATTTTGCGATTGCAAAAGCGATCGCATTGCGATGTTTCCTGTGGGGAAAAATCGCTTTGCAATTTGGAGCGACCGTGGTGGAGGCTTACCAGGCGGTCGCTCCGAAGCCAGCGCCGCCCGGAACGACCCTGGGGAGGCTTACCGGGTGGTCGCTCCGAAGCCAGCGCCACCCAGCTGGGGGGAGAGGGCTTTGGAGCAACCGCGGTGGAGGCTTACTGGGCAGTCGCTCACTCTGAAGCCAGCACCGCCCAGCTGGGGGGAGAGGGCTTTGGAGCGACCGTGGTGGAGACTTACTGGGTGGTCGCTCCGAAGCCAGCGCCGCCCAGCTGGGGGGAGAGGGCTTCAGAGCAACCGCAGTGGCGGCTTATTGGGTGGTCGCTCCGAAGCCAGCGCCGCCCAGCTGGGGGAAAATGGCCACCCGCAGCGTTTTCGCACCTCGCTTACTGAGGCGGCAAAAATGGCGGCTGGATGGGGGATTCTTCACTTACCGGTGAGTTTTTCCCCAATAGGAACACATTAAACAGAGTATAATGCGTTCCAATGGGTTCCCCCCCTGCATAGCGAAGAATCATTCCTATGAGTTCCCCCCTGCATAGCGAAGAATCCGGATAGCGACCTTAATTCTGGAACGGATTAACATCGCTATGCGGGGCACCACTGTATCAGTATATTTTTCTGGGTTCCACTGACATTCCTATCCTATTCCTTGTGAAGCAGTGTGAGTTGTTGTTTTTACCCTGCTTTAAAAAATCATATGAATTTTTTTCTAACATACTCATTTATTTGCAAACACGTCTTGTACGCATTTTTCCTGTTGATTCTGCTTGGTTTGTTCATATTTTTCATGTGCATTTTAACCATTCCCATTTTTAAGACTTATGTAGGATTTTATTTACTATTCTTATTTTCTCTGAAACATTCCCGCTGTCTTTCCACAGTGCAGATTTCTGAAGCCCAGGTACACTTTGTTTGACAGTGAGTCTCAGGAGGAGCAAAATTGATCATTTCAGAGAGAATCGAAACCAACACTGTTCTGTTCCATCCCTTGTCACTATTCATTGCCTGACAGACCAAAGAAGCTTTACACAGTCCTGGTTCATCATGTAACAGGCCCATGATAAACAATAACAAAAAGAACAGTGCAAGTATTTACAAATTATTGTTCCTCTGAGACTACTTTGTAGTAATTATCAGTGTGCTACCAACGGTAATGCGTATAATAGCTTCCTGTTTCCAGCTGCTGCAGTGATAAACCACCTTACTGTATCTGCAGCTTGCTTTCTATGGCTTCCTGGCTAATGGCCATCCAGTTCTTTTCTTGGGTGCAAACAAAAAAGATGTGGACATTGGCACGGAAAATGGAATTCATTATTCCTCCCTCCCATGGTCTTCAGCGCAGAAGAAAAATATAAACCTGCCACAAGGAAATGTGGAGGACAAATGAGAGAAAACACTGAGTGGTTTTGGGATATATCTTCAGTGTCAGAACATTGTATTAGGGTGACCAAAACCCTAGCCAGTATTTTCTGATGAATTCCAGATCCACATTCTGCTTTCATTTAATTGCGAGTTAACTTTTCTGAAAATAGATACTGATGTCTCGTTGTCTGCCCATTTATGACTGCTTTTAGTTTGACTGTTATGTAATGATTTCACCTTAATAAGGCTGATTGAACTGATTAACGGTCTCAAGCTTTTCCATGGTGCAGTCACTTTTCTATCTAAGCTCTGTATAGATATGATGTCTAGACACGATGCTTCGTGAAACAGAAAATGCTTAGGAAAAGGAGCTGCTTCTGGAAGATCTGCCTTGATGTACTTTCCCATGTCAGCATGGTACTTTCTTGACAATATGGGTTTGTCTTATATGAGGATGATGAAGAGCTGGTCTCTGTCTAGTCTGTGCATTTTAGTTGCATCCACACTAGTGAGCAGTTTCCCCTAATAAACGCATTTTGAATGCAATTTTCCTTAATGGATGCATATTTTATATTCAGCTCAGTAATATATCCATTTTTGCATGCCATGTTCCCTAAGACGTGAATCTTTTGAGCTATATCACAATCTGAGAGATAATTCTGTGTCTATCTACATTTTCGCCTAGAAATGCAAATTAGGTTAGTTTGCTTACATATGAAGGCCAAATGAAATCCTCCCCTATCTCTAGTTTTATTTTTTCTTGAAACCTGTAATAAACAGATTATTCTGAAGATTTTGAAGGCCTGTCACAGAAACAGTCAATTTACTTTCCTGGAACATTCATTTCACACAGTGCAATCCAATTAAGTCAAGGAATTCTGTTACCTTTTGTTTTGTGGTGTGCAATTGTAATCCTATGCATGCCTACTCAGAAACAAGTTCAGTGGGGCACACTTCCAGATACTGTATGTGTGTATAAAATTGTAGCCTTAAGGTCTTTTGCAAATTTCAGCTAATATCATGGATGAAGTCTTAAGATGTGAGCTCTTCTCAAGAAGCACAGTCCTTTTTGAGAAGGGTAATTTTGACAGTGTTTATTTCTTACTATAATGATGTATGTGTCTGTGTTCAGGCTCATTAATGCTATTGCTTGGTCATAGATAACAGGAAGCCCAATATGGTAAGCCTGGATAAGCAATGTAGTTCAAATCACCCTACAGCCACTCAGCTCACTGACTGGCATTTAGTAAATTACTCAAATTGCAGCAATGCTTTATTATTCCATTATAATATATTTTAAATGCTGTTCTCTGCCTTGGTTTTGCTCTCTCTAGCTGTATTTGGAGATTGAGAGTTAATTTGAAAGTGTGAGCAAGGCGAACGTCTTAGCAGTCTACGGCCTCTTGGTGTCTCCCTAGGGAAGAGAGGCAATCTGGAAAGGGAAGCTTCTGCTACCTGTGACTTGCTTCTGTTCCGATTAGGAATGCTGAAATATCAGAGTTCCTAATCTCATGGAGAAGTTCCACTTGTATTAGACTTCCAGCCTTTCACACCATCCTTCTTGATATGGAGATAGAAACAGGCAGGGTGTGGGGCTAGAATTCCTCTTCTGTTCACACATTAACCCATCTCTCTCTTTTAACATCTGAATAGGCCTGTTGCAGAAAGAGAGATAGA